TAACAGCGTAGGAGGGTGTCTGACGCGCTGTAGCGACCTGGGAGCAAGGGAATGGAGCTGTGAGTCGAAGTCTATTGAGATACAACTAGGGACAGACCTGGGAGCAAGGGAATGGAGCTGTGAGTCGAAGTCTGAGGACTCTGGGCTCCATCCCTGCTCCCTAAATACATTCAGCTATGATGGAAGCTATGGTAACAGGTAACAAAGGGAGATATCAAAGCTATGGAGATAGGGATCAAGCATGTGGAGATGGACAGTTGGAATCAGTGATCTAAGCAACCAACTGACTGTTGGACCGGTTGCATCAGTTGTGTGGTCAACCAACTGATGCCAACTGATGTGAACGGATGGGAGGCATGTAGCCAGGAGACCAGCATCAAAGGATGATAAGAGCAGCCAGAAAAGCGGTGACCAAGGGGAATGATGGATGGTAACCACCTAGACTGATCCATCACCAACCTCAACAAAATTACAGGACAACATCTGTGGCCGTGCAAGAGAATCAGACACAATACACAAAGAACAAAACAGCCAGCAGACATGTTGTGAGGTAAAGTTCAGTATTATGGCAATAAAGTGATTAGATTATTAAATGGGCTATGTAAGTTGGATTAACATAAAATTAAAATTATCTTAACCTCCCTGGCTCCAGGCCACAAAGGATCAAGAGGCAAGGGTTGCATGCAATGCTGGCCATGGCGGTGGTGACATTACATATAAATACAGGTTGTCCATGTACTGAGTAGGCAGCAATCTAATTTCCCTTGAGGCCCTTGCAAACACAAAAAAAAGTCTTCCTCCCCACACCTGGATCCGTGTCTGTGTCTGCATCTACATCCCAAGCCTCCCTGTATCCCCTTGCATCTGCAAAACTCCTTGAACACTCCTGGCACCCAATCTTCCTTGCTCCTTGGTTGTGGATCCACTCTCAGTTGCTGACTGGATACAAGCCCCTTTTGATCTGCTTGGACCCACCCCAGCTTACCAACCTACACTACAATGCCATACAGAACCTCATAGATGTCTTTGTAGCTGTCATTAATGGCCTTGAAGTTGGGAAACTTTGCCATTTGCCAGGAGGACTTGTCTTATAAATGAGATCATGTCATGGCCAAGGTGTGATGCTTTCCAACACATTTAAAAGTGTTATGATCCACCCGACAACCTCTGGAGATTGGCTGAACATAATGAGGGGATGCCTCACTCTATGAGGGCCAGGATGGAAGACAGCTATTGAGAGGACTGCTGTCCAATGTATTGGTGATGGGTGGAGTTGATAGTGCTGCCGGTGTTGAGGATGCAGTGCTTGTGCCAGGCACATCACAGCCTTGATTGGTTGGGGGCTAAGCCCTCCCTCAACAACATCAGAGAAGCTCCTCAAAGGAACAGCTTCTGAACTGATGCCCATTGAAAGGGAAGGGGGGGGGGAGAGTCGGGACCATGCTTCTTGAGTATATGGTCCTTGAGAACCCTTCCTGCCCAGCCGCAAGTGGGACAGAATCAGACTTTCTTGACCTCCAGCTCATGCACTGGAAAGCGTTCGAGATCAAGCATTTGAAGGCCACCGTGCACTGGGGCAACCATCATTGGCAGCCGCAGGACCAGGAATCCCAGCGTGTTATGAGCAAGGCTCGCTGCGTCATTGACACCCAGTATAGAATAATCATATGTACCGAATGTCAATACGTGCTTGATCCCAAGTGTATATGGGGTTATTTCAAATCTGAACACCACCATCTCTTGACCGATGAGCAAATTGATCTGGTCGCATCAATCTGCATCTCCCTCAATCTTCGAGGCCCTGCCATCATGAAGAAGGTCAGGCCTCGCAACCACAAGATTCATTACGGTCTCACCTTCTTCCCGTCTATCGTCTTCTGCATGCACTGTCACCGTGGTTTCAGAGCGGAGGCTTCATACACCTGGTGGCATAAATGTAAAGCCATGCCCGTCCGTTCAGCCCCTAATGCACTGCAAACCTACCAAGCGAAAGCTCAGACCTTTTTCAACAACAAGAAAGAATGCCGGTTCTTTCCTGTCAAATACGAACCGGTCAATCCTGTCACGAACAGCGCCGAGGCTAAGCAAGCTTGGAGTCTCATCAAGCCTCTGCTTGTTGAACTGGCCTTTGATCAAATTCCCATTTAGTTGCCGGATAATCTCTGTCAACTCTCCGTCTTCGAACGGCATGAAGGTTGGTGTTGATACATGCGTGGCATGTCAGGTGAGAAGATTCAAGCCATCCTGGACAAATCTCGCGATCCTCCGGCTATCGACAGTCTGGCCCTCTATCTCAAGCGATATGTTGATGTCGCTCTGTATGCCTTGGAGGACAAGTCGTATGTCATACAGTTAAAGCTTGTCAACATCGGACTGTGAGTTGCGTTCATTCTCCTTGTACATTGCGCTGTGTCTAAATCTTGTTCTATCTCTCCCGTAGACGACCCAATCTCAAGGGTTGTGTCCATTGCATAATGACTTGGCCCGAATATGTCCGCAAGTTCATGCTGATTCTTCGGTTTGTCCTCTGCGCTGCTCGCGGTGATTTCCCCAACGACTTCTCCTTGCCGCTCATGGAGGTCCAGGGGGCCTTCGCCCAGGACTTGATGATGCATCTCGAGAACGCACATGACACGGATGCCCAGCCTGCTGGTCTCGAACAGCTCAAAACCAACCACGAGGAGAAGGCTTTAATGAACTGTTTCAGCAAGGATTGTCATATCATGAAGTCACTCCACAGCCTCCTCTGGTCCCTCGTCTCACACAAGAAGCTCGGGTGTGACCCCAGCAAGTTCTACACCCCGTTGTACAACTATCTTGTCCTCAGCTCCTACAATGCGCAGGGCCACCTCAAGTTTGCAGCATCAATCTCATATGTTATTGCTCTGCTTCTCTTTCTCTTTCGTGTGTCCGTCTTTGTGCAGGGTGTTCTATATTCTCAAGAGCAGGACGTTCCTTATCTCAAGTGAGTCAAACTTGCTTTTACGTTGGATCAATCTTGCTCATTGTCTGTCTCTAGAATATTCCCTCTCATCCAGCCATGTCTCCTTGTTGAGTTGTGTATGCTGCTTAGGCTCGTCCTTTGCACTAATCAGATTGTGTCCACCATCTGCCTCGACAACGAAGGCATGCCGTGGATCAACTTTGTGGACAAGAAGTTCAAGAGCTGGGTGTATCACGGCAAGATTCTGAGCATGCAGAAGCTTGGTGACGTGATGTTCAAAGGCATCGCCGAGGCCATGGATCTCATCTGGCGCAAGATTCTTTGCAGTATCCCCTCCAATGACGACGCACTCGGGTTCAAGCGAACTGGCCTGGTTGACTCCCCGCAGAACATGTTGTTACATTACTGGTTCCTTCAGCACCAAGAGAACAACTTTGAACAATATCGCGATGACCTCTTGCAACTCTGGATCGGAAACGAGCACACCCGCAAACGTTTCATCAACACCAAGGCCAAGGACAGTGAGTCAGTCTGGTTTATAGACAAAATTGAGCATGTCTATGCCGCCTACAATTGCATCCAGCAGATCCTCCTCGCTGTCACCTGGTTTGCCTGCAGTCCCCCCGGTCACGCAACGGAATGGCAGGTGCTTATCAGCATGAACTCGCAGCAGGGACATATGCGTAGCCTCTACATTTTCACGGATGAATCGTACCTCGTCACCAGTTACCACAAGAACTTCGGTGCGACTGGCAAGCAGAAGGTTACCACCAAACTAGTGCCGACCCAGGTTCAGGAACTTCTGCTGTGGTCGGAGGTCGTCCTACAGCCTGCAATGGAATACTTGTTGGAGGTCGTGAGCATCTTTTTCTTGTTCTTCTTCTGTTTCTTTCGCCTAACACCGGTCACTCAGACTCACGGAGCCAAAGCACACATGCACATGTATGACAATATCTTCCCTTTGGCTAGTCAGACTCAATGGCCCAACGCCATCAACACCGCGTTCCCTGAACTCATGCGCAAATACCTTGGCATCAAGCTGACCGTTCACAATGCACGTGCCACTTCTGCCGCACTAGAAGCATTCACCCTCAACATTGACGCTGAGACCTGCCAGCAGAAGTTGCACAAGTTCCATTGGTCCGCATCAGATCAGCAAATGCACTTGCCAGCAACCGAGGACCGGTACTACGCGTTAACCACCTCCATGCTGAAGCATATCAGCGCGTACCAGCTGCAAGGATACACATATACCTCACAAGTTCATCAGGCGGCACTTGGTTTTTGTTCCCATCCTGACGTGGAAGAAATTACCGACATGGCCGCTCCTCTTATGGTTCACACGGTTGCTGTTGCCGTGCCCACGTTCGAGTCCCAGAAGGAGATAGCGCAGCTTGTGCTCAATGGTGTGGCAGGCACGCTGAATGAGTCATTTGCCCACACCGTCACCTCCATCCTGTCTCGTATCCCCAGCGTATCCAAGTTGAAGTGCACCGCAGAGAAGCAGAGAGTGCTGCCATTGACTCTCAGATGTGTTTGGGATCTGCTCGACAACCAGGACACGTTGTTCCACATCCCTGAGCAGGGAGTCGCTGTTATGAAGGCCCTGGCTGGTCATGACTTGTTGGCAGTCCTTCCCACAAATGCCTGCAAGAGCTTCATCCCACTTGCCGTTGTGCACTACTATTGGCCTTGCCGTTGTGCACTACTATTGGCCTCTGAACAAGTTTGTGGTCATTGTCGTGCTGATCACCGCCTTGCTTGAGGATTGGAAGGGCAAGTGCGAGTGCCTCCGCATCAAGTTTGGCATGTGGACCCTTTGCAACCTAGCGCCTGAGGCTTCCATGGTATTCGTCTCACCCAGGAACGCCATGACTCGCGAATTCTATACCTGGGCCAAAAACCAGGCAACCCTGAACTTTTTGATCACACTGGTCTACAACAAATGCCCACCTCATTGTCGAACATCAGTCCTTCCATGATTGTTTCCTGCACCTCGCTCGCCTAGGCACGTTTAATCTGCAGCTCATATTACTCACGGCTACCGCACCGACCCGCATCATTCTGGCGCTGCTGAAAGCCGCGGGCCGTTGTAATATTCATACCATTTGTGCTCCTGTGACTCGCCCTGAGATCAAATATCAATATCACTACTTCAACAGCAAGTGCAAGGCCCTCAAGCTCATCGCAGCACAGTACTGCAAGGCACACAAATCATACAAGGTGTAAGATCGTGCCATCATATTTGGACAGTCCATCGTGCAATGCAAAGATGTATCCACGAGGCTCTGCTGTCCTGTGTACTCTGGGAAGCTGCCGAGTGACAGGCAAGTCGCTGTTTACAGACGGTGGACCGAAGTCGGGCCAGTCATTGCCGCGACTTTAGCCCTTGGTTATGGCGTCAACGTCCCGCACGTCCGTGACGTGTTCTTCTTTGGGCTTCCTGGCAATTTCCTGCTGGCGGAGAAAGAGGCTGGTAGGGTCGGTCGCAACAGGATGCCTGCAAACACATGGTTTATCGATGTCAATGATCCGGCATTCTTTCGCCACCCTCCTTCGACACACAACCTTCTCGGTGACGAGGATATCATTCCCGCCCTCCACCCTGACGATTGCTTGCGGCTGCCATTCAGCCAGTTCTTCAATGACATCAACGTATCTTGCCCCGAGCTACGAAATGGCCAGCTTTGCATGAACTGCAAGCGCAATGTGCTTGGTCCCCACCCGAACCTATTCTCTTGTGAAGATGCTTCGTGGGGGGAGTCAGTTATCCATCTGTACCTCCCGGAGACGAGCCAGATACCAGGCACTAGGGCAATGGTGAACCTGGGCCTCCGCGACTTGGATAAGCTTCGTGCGAGGTACATGTGCCTAACATTTCAATCTATAACGTGTCCTAACTTCTTTCACAGACAACCTGTAACATGTGCCCCAGTTCCTTTCCCTGCTGCTGCCCCTATTCCTGCCCCTCCCTCCCGCCCTTCCATCCGTGCACTTCCTTCCCCCCCTTCCACGAAGCACGGCAATGGTCAGGCAGTGGAACCGTGGTTGGACAGCTTGTACGGCATGTTTTTCAACGACGGTGATGTTGATTTGTACATGAACATTGATACAGAGGTGCTGGCTCAGCAATTCCCACACAGTGACGCTCTCCGCAGCTATGTCACGACTGCAGCACCATTCCCAATCCATTCCTCCCTGGCTCCTCAAGCATTCAGCGATCATGTCGATGCAAACTCAAGCACCTACTTTCTCGCCCCTGGTTCATCTGTCTCCCACTGTCTCCCTGTGCCACTATCCATGGCCGCGCTCTCAGTGTTGTATCCCCAGCATCAAGACGACGTGTTCAGTAATCCGTCTACAGCTGGCCACCATTTCAGTGCTGGTCCCATGCCTCCTGCGCGTTGCCCTCTGCCACCTTCTCTCCCACAGTCTCCAACGCCAGTTACCGACATACAGAGAGTAATTGCCCGGATGCTTTGCTCCGATACTCTGTTGTACAACTCCCACACCACCTCATTGTCGCAGCTTCACATGATGGTGCACTCATTTGACAAACATAGCTCCAACCAACTTCCTTATATGTCCGCCAGAAAATGTGCACTGTGTCCTTCCACGCGACGCTGTCCGAGTAAATCAATGCGGGCTGACCGAGTGAGAACTTTAGCATCTCCTTGTGGAACGTTTGCTGATACTTTACTACAGAGAAGAAATCCGGAGACCGTCGGTGCCATCTGCTAGGCGAGGTAACACATACATTGAGCCAGCCACTCCCCTCCCAGCGCTCAGCATGGGGGCATCTTCTTGGACGCGCCCACACCAAATGTTGGTGAACATCACCAGAGTGCAACTGACAAACAACACATCGCCAGAGGTATCCGCTGGGCTAAAGAGGGCCAGGAGTGATCTCCGCAAGATATGTGTCCTCTGCTTCTTGCAGAGCCCCAAGCGGGCCCCTCCTGAACACAGAATCAAGGAATGCCCGATGTTCAAGTCTGCGGGGCATACTCAATCGCAATACATTTCTTGGATAAAAACTTACGCCAAGGTGGACAAAGTTTGTTGGCTCTGCAGGTTCAATACAGTACGGTGATGTTCTCTCATCAGCAATTGACACTCAATGCTAGGTTTCTCAGACACTATCTGAAGATTTCCCGAAAACCCACACCCCCTGGCGCTGAAATCTATCTGGCCAGGGCTGCATCCCCAAGCAGGACGAGAGGCTCATCCTGCCTATCATATATCTCTTTACCTGCAAACCACCACTTTGACAGTTGGTTCTGCCAGCTATTGAACGGTATGTGCTGCTGACAGGCCCTATCCCTCATTTTGACAACCAGCTGCTATACGAAGTGCAACGGCGATGGAGTGAATGGCTCTTCAGCTTGGAGCCTGCCCATACGTATTGGTATCTCTACATTATCTGGGCTATCTTCAAACACTTCAACATTTTTGCAGAGGACGACTGACCTCGTTTAAAAACTTTTTGAGCTCATCATTTCTCATGTATCGTTCATGTAGTATAGTAGTTTGCAATGTCATACCGTGACTCTCATGTTATAACATGTGTGTTCAAGCATAGCCAGCGCCTCAAGTGCAAAAGTTCAACGTTACCGTTCTTGTCCGTCGCAACTCGTGCTAGTGCAAGACAAGGCTCAGAGTGTACTGTATTTAGTCGAAACAGAAGTTCGATAGCATATAATACATGAAGAAGTGATACGCAGCGTCCTCTATGGTACATGGGCATGGAATTATTATCTACGGTGTTGCAATAATCACATGGTGGGGATGTGGGGGTGCTGGAAGGGGAGGGAGGGGAGTCGGCGGAACTCATCGCAGAACATTGTGATGTACGCGTTGACGACCGCTCACTTCAAGACTTGCTCTCGGTTAAGCGTGTATATCAGCAACACCGGCGACCCGGAGACCTTCCAGTCCTTCATCAAGAGCACCAGCGAGTATACATACTTGCTGCGTGTTCTCCCATCCGCGTCACTGAAGCTGTAGGTTTGTGATCAAAGTCGAAAACATAGTCCGCCATGCAGGCGCAGACGGCGGCAATGGTATCCTCGAAGGTCTTCATCGGCACTTTTAGGTCGTGGTGCTTGTGCCTAAGGAAACAGTACGCAAGGAGGAGCAGGTCTTGGTGGATGGCGTGTTTGTTGATATCCCAGATGATCAGTGATCCCCAGCCCGCGCTCTGAACATCGCTGGCAGTCACCTTCTTGCCGAAGTACGAACTGTTGGTGTCGACCGTCGGGAGCGCACGTGGCACTTGCTTGCCAGCTCGCGGTGTCCTGCCCCTAAAGTGATTAGGTGCGAGACGCGTAGAATGCATGCGGGAAACATGAATGAAGTCTATGGGTAGCCACTCACAATTACTATAGAGTACAACTTGCGTGACTACGATCATAGTAGCCGATCCTTAGTTATGCTAGTTTCTCTCCCAGTCCTCAGAAATGACTCACATTAGTATTTAAATATTTTTTGGTAGTATAATAGTTTTGTTTATGTCAAGGAGAGCTTGATAGAACCTCCGGAATTGGACCCAACCGTACCTGCAGTGTGTTGAAGTTCTGGTACTGTCGGCAGTGACTTGAAAACGGCGAGGATCGGGGCTGGCATCAATACGCGCTTGAGATCTGCAATGGCTTTGTACAAGGTCACCTTTTCCACTTGAAGTTGCCACCCTCAATTCTCATCTTGTGTTTGCCCCTTGAGCTGTGGCACATAAACCTGCGACACAGATTGATGCGCAACCATTGTAACTGAAACTAGCATGTCAGCATATGTTGCGTGCAAAGATAAGCAGAGATGACGTACTTTTTGTTGTATGCAATGGACCTGCCACAGGCTGCGAGCGCAATGGGCCTGCAACCGCTGCAGACTCTCCGGCGCGGTAGACAGAGTTGAATGAGACGCTTGCAAGTTCAAATTTGTTCATGTTCACGAGCACAGGATACTTGCTCGTCTTGATGCTGCTGATGGAGCCGTGTATGTGTCCTGCGGTTGACACGTACGATGATGGCAAAGACTTGCACAGCGTAGTGATGACACTGCAGCCACAACGCACCACCACCACTACAGCCATGGCACACCGCCACATCAAAGCCGTAGTGCACTGCCACCACTACAGCCATGGCACATCGCCACATTACAGCCACCCGGTGCATTGCCACACACTGCATCACCACGCACCACCACAGCCACATGCCACCACAGCCATGCGCCTTAGGGTTATGAGTGAGTGCATACAATGGTAGCGCTGGCGTAGCAGTGGGAAAACACCTTCCAAATTGGGCGTAGCACTGGCCAGCGGTGGGAGCCACCTTCCTGATTGGGAACAGACATGGGTGGTGGTGTGGTAGGCCCATGCATGCTCGCAAGCCACTGTGAGTTGGGCCCCGCACCAGAGTGCAGTCAACAACGGCGCATCATGGCTTGTGAGTGCGCATGGGCCGTTGGTGACCGTGCTCGGCAGCCTGCAAGTGTGCATGGGCCATCAATGACAGCGCACTGCAGCTTGTGCGTGCGCGCGGTCACCATGGCCCTTGCATACTTGCAAGCTGCGATGCACCATCGTTGACTGCGCTCTGGTGCGCGGGCATGACTCACGGTAGCTTGCAATCGCACGCACGCTGTTGGTGACTGCGCTCTGTGCGCTTTGTAAGGATTGTGAAGAAGTTGGCCTTAGAGCCTGCGGGCCGTTGACAGACCTCTTGAGAAAGAGCTAGGGATCTGCCTTATAACGAGGACCTCTGGGAGCCCACCACAAACATGGTCCTCAACCACAACATCCTCTTGTGCATTCTCGACTTCCTATTAGCGTCGACTCCTGCACCCGGGGGGAGTACGGTCCTCCAAGCCCATGCTCGTCTGGTGGCCCTAGGGCAAGCTCATCTGGTCAATCGATGATGGTGTGGGGCTGCAGATCCCTTGTACTGGTGGAATGTGGTCGTGCATCTGGATCACAGGAGGCCGGATTATGAACGGGTACAAACTACGGTCAGTTGCGCTGGAGGGCTTCGCAACATACAAACTGACCTTGCAAGTAGAGGGTCTCTTGCAGGATGCTGTGTGCATTTCTCAGGATGATCCCGGCTACTACCCTGAGGAGGATGTGCCCATGGACAAAGAATCCAAGGCCTTTCACGGCAACATCAAGGATAAGCAGTGCGCAAAGGGTGCCAGGGCACAAACCATGGGCGAGGGCAAGCAGTGCACACAGCTCAAGGATTTCCAACCCCAGCCCAAACCCTCTGCTCCATCCTGCTGCAAAAAGCAGGCTAGCACCAGCAGGCAGGCATTGAAGAAAAAGCCGCAAAACATTGTCACACCTGCAAGGGTGCCCAGCAATAAGTCTTCAGATGATGAGGCCCCTCTGAACGCACCTGCCTGTGTTGCATCGTCAGAGATCGTGTCCAGGGCTGGGCCCTCTGGTCCCCTGCCTGCCACTTCCCCAATCTCTCCATGACTTGACGCTTTGCTGCAAACCACCCTATGGCCATCTCGTGCCGCTGCTTGCCCTGCTAATTTACCTAAATGTATGGACATTGATTCCAATGAGGACATAGGTGGCCCACCCAACACCACAACATCTGGGGCAGGGGAGCAAACCCCTCCAGGAACCCCAGACAGTGCCTCAAGTGCCTTGCAGGGCAAACTAGCAGATCCACCGCTGTCGCAAGAGGATCTGCATGCTGAGTTGCTCGCTGAGAAGAGCCATGTGGGAGGCAAGACCTCCAAGCGGTGTCCATGCACATTGATATCCCTCACAGAAGCAACCTTGGCAGCCAACAGAAGAAGCTCTCTTTGAACTAGGTCAAAGTGCCTCCCTGTCAGCCTGCCCCTGCAGAAACCAAACAAGAAGTGGCCAAAAAAGGGTGGCGTTCCGGCCAACATCATCTTCAAACACTCCACACCCATCTCTCCACAAGTTGGGGTGACACAGGGCTTTGCAAACAATGACTAAGTGATGCATGTATTTATTTAATGATAATGGCTGCCCCGGAATTAGATTTATGACTAATCATGCAAAGCATACAGTGTTAATTCCTCAACTGATGAGTGTGGGAGTGCCTACCTCAAGTTCAAATCCCCGGGTCAAGTAAGGGTATGCATCCATAAATACCCACTGCCACAATGCAGTCTTGGCCCCTCAATGTGCAGTCAATGACTGCACCCACGCAGGGATCATTGGTGACACCTGGTGTCCTCTCCTCAATGCGCAGTCACTGACTGTACCCACGCTGGAATCATTGCAGTCACTGACTGCACCAGTGGGGGGACCATTGCCATAACCCTATGTATCCCCCCCAGCACGTGCAGTCAATGACTGCACCACTGCAAGACCAAGCCATCTCCTACCCTTGTGCATGAGGGTGCACACATGTGAGCGCACAGTCACTGACCGCACGCGTGTGACATATTGCTTGGTGACACCACCACCGCAATGGTGCAGCCTGTGTATGTGCATAGCCACATATCCTCCCACCCTTAGCCACCCATCGTGCCTCCCACATCCTCCCCACCCCTGCACCCAATTCGACAGGAGGCTCCCACCCCTCCTCCACCCCTAGCTCACTGTGCACCTCACATATAACCCTAACCCTAAGTTCCTCCAATGCACGGGCTACATCTCTGTCTGCAATTGTCAGATTGCTGAGGTCGTGTTGAAGCATTCCAGAGATAGCCTGCGTGCTGGCCCTGATGGTGCTTGCAACGTGGTTCAGGGAGGTGGCAATCACCGCCCAAAAGTACCGGTCGTGCATATCTGTTGCGCAATTGAATGCATTGAAAATTTGCATGACCCATATTTTGCTGTAAAACAAGCAGGCAGACAGAAGTAGAATCCAGGACGGTGCATCTACAATGGATGCAGCAGGGTATTGCTGGAGAGGGGGAACAACTGGTGGTGGTGGAACTGGGTTGGGGCGCATTCTGATGGTTGCATTGGATGACAAGTACAAGTTCCCTGAATGCCTGCGCAATTATTATGCTTGTGATGACTTCTTCAAGATGGTCCTTAAGGAGTCTAAGGCCTATTGCAACTTTGAGATTGTCAACGACATTGTCTACCTCAAGGAGAATGATGTACTCTGGCTATGTATCCCAGACTGTCATCCTGGCAACCGTTCTGCTCACAAGATTGTCATATCTTGAGCTCATTCAATACTTGCTCATCTCAGAGCTCATAAAACCTTGACTTACTTGCAATACACGGTCTGGTGGAAGACAATGGCTCGCGACGTACAAAAGTACTGCAACTCGTGCATTACATGCAAACAAAGTAAGCCATCAAATCAGAAAACATACGGGCTACTGAACCCATTACCTGTCCTGACTGGCCTTTGGGAGGCTATTGGGATGGATCTTGTTGGCCCACTACCGGAAGCAAAGGACCACAATGGTACCTATGAGGAAATCACCGTTATCATCGACCTCCTGTTGGGACGTGTACATCTAGTGCCTTCGTGATAAGACTATTGTGCTAAGGACATAGCTGAGTTAGTGTTCCAGGAGGTCTATTGCTTGCACGGTCTTCCAAAGTGTATCATTAGTGACCGAGACGTGTTGTTCACGTCGGCGTTCTGGCAACATCTCAACCAACTCCTTGGGATTAAGCTTAGTATGTCTAGTGCATACCCCCCTGAATCTGACGGGTCCACTGAACGGGCCAACCGGACCGTGACCCAGATGATTCACGCATGTGTAAGGCCCAATCAGAAAGATTGGGCTGCAAGATTACCTGTGATTGAGTTCGCCATCAATGCTGCACGATCAAAGAGCACAGGCTTTGCACCATTCTTCTTAGATACCGGGCGGATGCCTCAATCATTGATATAGAATCAACCAGCAACCAGCGAGTACACTGGTGTTCACTTGTTTGCTCAGAAAATGTGCCAAGCTGTAATAGCAGCGCACAATGCCATCTTGGAGGTGAGAGTAAAGCAGACTCGTGCTGCAAATCGGTTACCCCAATCTTCACCCTTCGTTGAAGGTGACATGGTGTATGTATTCACTAAGAATATATCATTCCCAAAGGGTCAAGCAAGGAAACTTGTGCCAAAATACATTGGGCCATACTGTATCATACGGGATTTTGGTGATAACTCATATCAAGTTGAGCTGCCTTTGCACCTACTCCAATGAGGTGTGCATCCCGTCTTCCATGTGTCCTTGCTGCGGGTGCATGTGCCGAACGGCAATAGACTTTTCTCGGGGTGACACAAGACGCAGGTTGCCAACTTTGGTGAAGACTCATCGAGTGTATTTTGTTGCACAAGGGATGTGGTCTCTCAATTGTGTTTGAGGTAAAATGGAAAGCTGGTGATGTATCCTGGTTGCTGTTGGATCAGATTGACGGCCACGAACAGCTTAAACTTTACCTTGTTGCAAATGGTGTCAACAGTGTTGCCGCATTGCCTGATGGCAGCGGCTCACCTCCAGACAATGATCTGCAGGTTTTCCTTGGCTATGTCATGTGCAATGCTCCAATCAAGCTCAGACCCATCGGAAGAGATGACGTTCATATAGATCACGGAGGTGGTAGCGAGACTGTCCTTCCCCTACCTATCTGTTCAGACACTTGCTGTTGGACGCAACTAAACTCAATCAATGCACCTTTCCTCATTTTTGATTGGCTCATGTCGGCCTTGGTGTCTCTCATTGCTGATCCTGGTCCTGGACCTCCCAAACACATTCTGGCGACACCAAGTATTGTCTTCTTGATGACAAGTGTATCATTTGAGACTGAACGGAGTCCAACGGATGGTGGAGGCATCAAGATCATCTTGTGGAACAAACTACAGGCATGCATGATCATTACAATCATCTTGGAAATGGAAGGATCACCCACCGTATGCCAAGGCCTCCGAAGTACGCCATGTTCTGCTGTGCTATCAATCACATCACTGTTTGCAACAACCTCTCTATTGTGATTTTTTACTTTGGCAAAGACGGATCCTTGATGCCTGGCGACGACCCTCTCAACCTTGTCATCACACTGGATGTGTGCAATGTGTATGACCGCTATGTTCGGCCGAAGGAAGAAGCTGCGCAACGTGTTGCACCAGTGCCTTCCAAGCCCAATGAGACGGATGTGGATGCAATGACAGTTGATGAGGACTCGGTCGAGGGTGCCCCTCTCATGTTGAGTAATGACAACCCTAGTGCACCTACGACAATGAAGAACGGCCAGTCAGCCAAATCCAAGAAGCAGCATGGCAAGCACTCACATTGCAACTGTGCTAAATGTCCAACGTACGCTGTGATGAACACCGCTCATCGTGAGAACATTTGTGCAACGTTCATGTACCGCAAGCAGGAGGAAGTGAATTGGCGTGATGCTCGCTGTGAAGCTTCGCATGCTGAACGTCACAGGAAGGTCCATGGAGGAGACAATGATAGTGGAGGAAGGAAGAAGATCAAGAAGTCAAAAACAATGATGGAGGGCACCACAGTGCAGGAGAGCAAGGTTGCTGGGCCAAATACCGCGGGCGATGAGGGGAAACCCAAGTCTGAGAAGAAGAAGATGAAGAAGATGAAGGCAGACAAGTTGGGATCATCTGCTGGCGTGGATACAATGGACGTAGCTTGAAGACGTCGGTAGTTTACCTGTTTGGAAGGGTGCACAGCGCCCTTGGAGGGTGGGTGTAACGGGGAGTTTCCTTCTGTGTGGTGAGGTTTGATGGATGTTGATATTAACAAGCATACCACATTGAATACTCTGATGGTGGAGGAGGATATCATGCATGTCGCCTGTGGCAATGCCTCGTTACTTCTTACTCATCCGGCACATTGTGCTGTTTCTTCCTATTTAACCTGACTCTGTCTGTGCTGTACCTTTACCTTTTGGTTCAAGGAATCCAGCACTTAAAACAGTCTGTTTGCTTGCTCCCTGAGGTTTCTTGTGTGGCATCACTTTTGCTCAAAAGTGTTACTAGTTATACATGGCCTCTTCATTGCCGAGCAGGGTGATAAGTTTCTCACACTTATTCTCCCTGTCATTGCTTGATGAACCACATACTTCTGCTCCTTGGATTGTCTCCTTGCTGTCCAAAAGTATCTTGACATTACGGTCACCCAAGGGAGAAAGCCATCATCGAATCTGTGGGTAGCTCCAAGAAAGCGAAGGAGAAAGCACGCAAGATACTGTGGAAGTGAAGAGATTCTGGGTCGATGATGCAGCCTGTTTGGTATGTTGTTGCACTATCAGTGTGTTACACATTCCCCATGTCTACATTTAGAATCAAAATTCTTATTGAGCCTCTCCCCATTGCTTCAAATATCGTGCAAGATGCCAGTACATGATGTGATCAAGTCCTCCTCATGCTGTGAAAGCTGTTCAAGTCGTACGACAAGCTTTGCTGGCATGAATGCAAGAATCTGGAAAACACCGGTGAGCTATCTCTTGCCACATGGCCTCGACTATCATTCGCAGTATCGAGAAACACTGGTGGAAAGCCGATCAAGATGTGTTCATTGCAACTCTCTTCCTCAATCCCTACCTTGACCAGTTGATCTTCAAACTGACACCCGCGATCACCATGGGAATCATCAAGTGTATGTATCAGAGGGTGTTCTGCACTTCCATTACTGAACTCCCACTGACACTCCTCGGTCTGGTACTACATTACACCAACCTGGAAGAAGAGTTCTCTGACATAAACTGGCCTATCAACGGGTTGAGGGATGGTTGTCAGGCTCAGGTATTGTCAATGACCCTTATGAAAGGCCTGTTCTCATAAACATGTCTTAGGATAGTTTGATTGATCCATCAAAGTGCTGGCAAACACTTGGGGACAACAACCCTCTGTCGAAGGTCTAGGTTCGGATCTCCAGATCCAATCGGTGCAAAGCACTGATGATACCCCTCGCATCGCGAAGGCGCCCGGTGTGCCCACATGGACTTTCTTATCATATTCTTGGCCTTCGGCCCGCTGTTGCTCACTTAAGCATCGTGTTCACAAATCCGTCGCTTCACCTGCTTGTTATCCCCACGCAGTGTGAAGCGTACGTTGATTCATTCTCTCGTTATGTTAATTGTTGCTCATTGTACCTCAGTAACTGTACTGCGTACATTCTAGGTACATGAATCGACCTGCTCGTTATCCCCACGCAGTGTGAAGCTAACTGTACTGCGTACATTCTAGCTCTTGCTCCCGCTCTGTTGCTCACCGCTCCGAAGCCTCGTTGAGACCCTCTTGCAAGGCTTGTCATCCTCCTCCTCAGCTTTGTCCCTAACTCAGCATCTTGTGAGCACCTGTTTTCAGTCTGGAATGGCACAAAAACAAAGAAATGGTCCCGTCTTGGCACACAGAAGACCCATGACACTGTATACCTCAAGCTTGAACTCCGCCCAAGCACACCTTGCAGGGTACAGCACAAAGACACCTCAAACACCGCTTTGGGAATGCTGAGACTGCAGTGGACTCTGACCATACTGCAAGCCGCATGGAAGAGCAGGAGATCATCCAGCACGTCAAGGAGACTGGTGGAGATGGCTCCAATGGATCAAATAGCAACAAGGAGGCTACGTGTCACATGGCCATCCAGACTGATCTACGCCAATCTGCTCCGCTGATCTTCACCAATCTTCTCCGACTTGTCTCCAACTCTTTGCCGACTTCTTTGCCAACATCAATCCTGCCTTTCCCATTTCCACCGAGGGCGGGATACGTCTATCACATGCACGGGCCACCAGTGGCTCAATGCCCCAGTGGTTCCAGATCTTTGAGTGGATTCAACTCCGACTTTCCTGTTTCCTCATCTGAAAAAATCTTGATCTATATAGCTGCCCCTCAGAACTATGGACACTATTGTCGTGCTATGGATGCTATATAGAAGTCACCCAGTTGCTATATAGTGCTATGGTTGCTATGTAGAAGTAGGTCAGTTGCTATATAGTGCTATATAGCAATTATAGGTAATATAGATCAAAGTACTAGCTACATAGTGCCACATAGCTCATAGGTGCAGTCAATATAGCACCCATAGATTTGGTATGTATCTGTATAGTGGTGATAGCAGGGCTCCCAACTTACACCTACCATGAATCAAGTTAGTCTCAGGTCCTGAATTGTAATGTTAGCCTATACATTGTCAGATATATGCATGAATAAACTATATACAAGGTGACTAAGTATCAAGGAGCTTGTGGACTATATGAGACACAGTGGCCAACGCGGACTTGGAGATTCAACGCAAACCCATGCATCACGTGACCTGGCCGTGACGCGCGTGTTTGCCCTCCGCGCTGGCAAATGTGGCTTGCCGTCTCAGCCCACCGCGCTGGCAAGTGCGCACAACTCAGCGCTGTCAAGTACGCCCAGCGCCGCGCTTGCAAGTGCGCGCATCAACGCGCAAGTCCCCGCGCTCACCGTCACAAACCGCCCCCAGCACTCGAAGTGCCCGCCCGCCGCCCTCAATTTCGCCTCTGCCGTTTGCCCGGCCCCAAGCGCGAGCCGCCAACGCGGTCGCGCTCGGCGCAGCTTCCATCCCGCCTCTGCCGTCTGCCCTTCCCCGAGCGCGAGCCGCCAACGCGGTCGCGCTCGGCGCCGATTCCGCTGCCCGCCCGCCTTCCGCCCAGCGCCAGCCGCGAGCAGCCAATGCGGTCGCGCTCGGCGCTGCTTCCACCCCCGCCCCTGCCGTCTGCCTCTACCGCGAGCCGCCAACGCGGTCGCGTTCGGCGTCGCCTCCCACCTTCGCCGCCCTCCTTCGACCAGCCCCGAGTGCGAGCCGCCAACGCGGTCGCACTCGAGGTCACCTCTCGCACTCGCGCCCCGCCCCGCCCGCCTTCGACCAACCCCGAGCCCGAGCCGCCAACGCGGTCG